TTAATTTTTTCTCTTTGTTTAACCGATTTTTGCTGAAAAGATATACAATTTACCTTTCAAAAAATGCTTAAACCTGCAAAGAAATTTTTAAAAATATTTCTATACATATTTTTATAAAAGAATTTTGTATAAAATAGAACTGCAAAAAACTTCCCATACCGGGAATCGAACCCGGGCCTTCCGGGTGAGAGCCGGATATCCTAACCACTAGACAATATGGGACTTATAAACAATTGTGGCAAATGACTTATTACAGCCGAACAGCGATCGATAATTACTGATCATGAATACAACTACAAGTATTAAAAACAAAAATTATAATTTAATTACAGAAATAGAAATAGTAATTAGGTATTGCCTTGAACTACAGAATCACAAAAATCATGAATAAACATTGATTAATATCTGCATAATTTTATACTAATTGAAAATACTGAATTATTTATTACTTTTCGTTGAAAGTAATTAGAAAGCAAAGTTTCATAACATCTAAAAATCCCATCATGCCGTAAACAACGGTGTATTTTCACGTCCCTGTCCATATGTTAAAATATATGTGTTTATGCACAAATTCAACCGAATTCAATTAGCACTTGCATGAAAAGCATAAATTTCAAATTCAATTTGCTTGCAGAAATCAAATAATATATTATATATGCTACATTAAATTAAAGTAATTCCTTATCGCCCCACAAGCTGGCAAATTTATGCAGTGTACACAACGAGCTTTTAAGCACACGCATACATGCATAGCTTTAAGCACATAAATGCACTTATAAGCATATTTGTCCATCGCTTCCGTCATATGCACCTGTGTGTGTGTGTGTGTAGACACAGTACCTTGAAGTCAGCTTGACTTGCGTGCTTAAGTTTTCTTAAGTAGCGGCTTCCCAAAACGCCACTCACAATTCACACATGCAGTCAGTGCTTTCGATCACAAATACACACCTCGTACGCCCCTACTTCCTACCGACGGGCTGCGTGCTGCATTTTACCCGATTTTTATCACAATTTCCACTTCACGTTCCCACAGTCATTCGTCACTTTATCACGTGTGCTACGTGTTCGGCCACTTTGCCACTTTGACCCATTTTTCTTGGCAGCGGCAAAAAGCTTGTTAACTGTACATATGCATATTTGTGTGTGTGTGTGTGTGTGTGTGTGTAGTGCTAGAAAAAACTCGGCTAGCGAATGTGAGTGCTTTATGGATTTTTGATTAAATTATATTTATGTAAGTGCAATCATATTGTACAAGGGATATAAACCGTTATACATTTTTATAAAACATTACATTGTTATTTTTGATTGGCATACAAACATACAAAGAGGTAAGCGTGTGTGTGTGAGGAAATCATAACGTAAATATAATAGAATCGGAATTAGTGGCAAGTAATGTAATGGCTGCACTTTCTTGGAAAAGTAAAGTCCATTAACAGTTGCCGGAGTGTATACTTAAGTTTTTTATAACACACACACATGCAATTGGCAATACTGAAGATGTACATATGTACATAAAAATGTGTATAAATAAATGCAGAGTGAACAATTGTGCTGTGGAAAATATAATAAAGTTTATGAAAAAAAAGTTTAATGGAAATTACTATTAAAATTAAAATTAACAATAACATTAACATTAATATAATATTAAAATTAAAATTTAAAAAATTAAAAATAAAATTTATATTTAAATTTAAATTAAAATTAAAATAAAAATTAATATTAAAATTAAAATTAGAACTAAAATTAAAATTAAAATTAAAATTAAAATTAAAATTAAAATTAAAATTAAAA